TGTTAAAATATTTGAATCCCACCACTGCCTATAAGGTATTGATTTCCTCCAACTTGGATTTACCCAATGTGGCTTGCTCGAAGAACGTATCCCCATGTTGGAGGAGGGCCCACTGTATTTCACATTACTTGCTTCCTGTTCAAAGGAAGCTTACCAGCAGGAGATGATTAGGATTTTAGCTTATTGTTTAACTTCTGGTCATTATTCCCTTCCAGAGTTTTGTTGTGTAATGAATTTCTTTGACGCTTATTACATCTGCTCATACTTTTACATGTGGTCTAGCATCGATAAATGCAAGGTTGATCTTTGTGACTCACCCATTGACACTATTCTGGATGATTCCTGCAGTCAGACTTTTGGGGGACATCTCAGATTTTTGTTCATCGAAGGATCTATAGCTGCATGATCTTTTGGTTTATCAGGTTTCTCAATCTTATTTTCTACTGCATATAGCCTGTTAAAAAAAAATGACGGGCAAGAACTACCACTCCTACCCCACCCCATAGTATACCCGAACTTCACATTTCATAGCTAACTGAAATATATATAAATTTTGCGAAATCAAGCTTGACCAACAAAGGGGTAGAAAAGTGCAATGGAGGCAGTCAAAGATTAGTGAATTCCATTGTGAGTCAATCAAAATTAAGATCATTCATGAAATGAATTCGTGGCGTATTCATAGAATAATTATTGGCAAAAATCAATTAGATTAACGACTTCTAATGTCATGTCATGTCGCTTAGCAACAAAAGTATAACCTAATATTGTTGATAGTCTATGTTCTGAACGTATATGAAATGTATAGACAACAAAGTTGGAAAAATATTTTGTTGATTTCTTAATTTAGAGCCCCCGTTGATTAAATAGATTTGTGATTTATTTAAAATGTTGGTGATATAAAAGAAAATAGTATAATTCAGAAATTATTTAGGTATAAAATTCAATCGATATTTTTACTTTCATGATAAATTGTATGCACTTGGCTCTAGGCTAGGTGATCCCACATTACATCTCTCCTTTAGGCTTATTATACCAACATTTACTAACTTACAAAGTATCACGGCACCCCCCCCCCCCCCCCCCCCCC